TAATTACAGTGCAGAACACAGAGCAGTTGCAAGACTCAGACTCACAAGAACACTTATAAAATAGGTAATTTATTTTCTATAGTACCCCATTCATTATTTTCGTTGACCACAGCCTTTTAACCCCTTACCCACAAGGATCAGCAGTCTGGCACAACTAGTGCAGAAACAGCCAGCAGGGGGCAACTCTGTCTTTGCACAAAGGAGGTCATGTTGTATTTAAGTCTATAGGAAAGTTCACCTTATATATGACCTCAGTAAATGCTTATCTTATGACCTTGTGCTCTCAATCCCTTATTTCATTGGCTATGGTCAAAATGCCAATCTCAAGTCCAGATGACCAATGGTTAACATCATATCCATCATTTATATAATCAGGTTTGAACCTCATGAGTTTTCTCTGATTACTCCACCTTCCTCCTGGCCAGATAAATGCAATTTTAGGTTAACTCATGGCTTGAAATTGATGCTAAAGTGATGTGGTTGTTTCAAGGTACCCTCTGTCAAGTGGGATAGCCCTTCCCCCCACGGGATAAGATATTAAAAAAATGGATGGATAGAAAACATTTTAAAGACAGAAGTGGTGTTTTTTTCCACTGCCAAGTTTTCTTTAAATAAAACATCAGAATGTTTCCTATGAGAACACAACGCGTTTATATCCAAGGCTAGCAAATGGTTTCATTTCCCTCCTTGTAAAACATTTAGGTATGCCAAAAGCCCAAACAAACAATGACAGGAGCGGACCAGAGACCATGTTGTGAGTTGACCACACCAGCCAGAACAACACCCATCATGGAAAATATTAAGTTTATATCCTAGGTGAACATTGCACAAGAATAAACATTTCAAATAACAGAACAAGATGGCAACAATCCCATGAACTCTGAAGGTCCTCCACACAAGATCAGCTCTCCACGAGTTGCCAGCAGATGTTAAATGGTAAAAATCATTAGTTGTGTCCCTCAGCATCATTGGGTGTTTTGTTCTTCTCTTTTTTGGCCTTTCGGTAAAATTGTAAAAAGCATAAAGACATAAAACTAAAAGCAAAGATTTGAGTTTGCAAAACAAAGCAAGGTGAGAATGGTTTCATGCATATGTTTATGTTAAATAAGAAGTGTATTGGAGTGTGTGTGGGTGTTCTCACTGTATCATCTTATGCTGTTTTTGTATCCATACCAGTGGCATGTAGTGATGCATCTGGCCAGCTCACTAACAACAGCATCCAGATAAAGGTAGTGGAGACCTAGTATAATTAGCTGCAATCATTTACTCTATTTGCTAATCTCCCCATAAAGTTGTTCTTAATTAATTAAGCTGCATAGTGCTGTGCAGATGTTGCCTTCCTTGTGTCCACTTCCTGCCGACTGCAAGTGGCAGGAGGAGATTTCGAAGCTTCATTTCTCCAGCGAGCTCGCTCTCACAGGAAATGTCCACCCTGACAAGTCACATAATATACTTTTGTTATTATTAGCACAAGTCAGCCAAAAGAGTCACGTGGCTCGTTTGCAACACCAAAAAACTCGAGTCAAGTGATAAATTTTATTTCAGGACACTCAACTTCAGATTCAGATTTTCTGCTTTGACGAAGATTGAATTTGAAAAAGAAAACATATTTAACTTATTTCTTTTCTTTCCTATTTTCTCATTCCCAGTTCTTGAAGTAATGCAAAATAAAAATGACAGAAGTGTGCATGGATCATCTGTATGCAGAAACAAAGGCTACTTGTCACATGGAGACCTTCCAGAAACAGGGTGAAGATGAAGAAACACTCCTGCAGTCCGGTCTGCTAGTAATCCACCCTGCCAGGTTTCCAGAAAGCACACAAACCCTTTTGTGTAAAATGTGGATGGACTGTACGATAAAAGCGGTCTGGCTAATGTCTTCTTTTAAAAATGAAGACCTTAAAAAAAGACCCATTTTCACTTCAGGAGAATGAAAAAGGTGAAGCAGCCTCATTCAACACCAGAGAGCCTGCAGCGCCCTGGTGTTTTTCATTTTTAATGTTTAACTCCAGAGTTTATGGCAGGCTGGCAGGACTCGGATTAGTTTATTACTGACTTGTAGGTGTTATTTATGAAGTATATCACTTATTAACAGACTGCTTGCTTTACAAAACTACTGCATTTGTCCGTATGTTTGCATTAGATCAAAAGAAGAATGCAGTGCGCAACCTGAGCAAATCTAGTATTTTAAATTGTTACGATTTAGATTTTATTTTAGATAAAGTTTTCACTTATTGTCCAAGTGAAATCCAACCGAGCAAGAGTATTTTTCCAAAACACAAATCTCCCGTTTAACCTTAGACTGGCTCGCATTAGCCTGCCTACATAAACTGTTGGGTATATTTTTAAATACATTTTACATACATTTTAGGTAAACCATCTATTTTTTTTGTTTTTATAGATGGGTATCAAATCACCAAATCTAATGAATGTGACTCATCTATTGTGAGTTTAGTTTAACTAATGGCAGGAAGTCTACACGGGCATTGCAAACTTACAGCAGGTTTCATGTAAAATCCAATATACAGCATCAGTGTTGGTCAAGTTACTTGAAAAAAGTAATCAGTAATTAATTACTGATTACTTCCCCAAAAAAGTAATCCCGTTACTTTACTGATTACTTATTT